GGTCATTCTATAAATTTGGGGTCCCAGCACTTTCTTCTTGTCCCTGTTACATCTGACATCTATGATTTTATAATTCTGATGCACTCCTTAATGCAGTCGTCCTCCGAGAGTGATCATGAGAAGCAAACTACCTACCCAACGGTCGAAAAAAAAATTTGAAGTCATTCTTAATGATACTTGAAGGCGCATTACAAAGTACCGAGGTAACATGGACAGAAAAAATGTCACACTTCGGAGCCTACATTTATATATAGAATGAGCAAAGGAGCAGACGCCTGACAAGCGTACAGCCTCAAAACCACAAGATTTTGGCCGAATTTCAAATGGCTTCGACTGACCGAGATCCTCTGCTCTCCTAAGTGATGCATAATAAAACAAATACTAAAAGGTCCCGAATATCATACAGTGGATCACATCGCTGGCTGCTAGTTTGAAAAATTCGTCTTCACCCGTTAACTTTTCTCGCTAATTGCTCCATCAACGTCTCGATATCGTGGCCTTTTCTTCCCCTTTCCTCCCTTATCAAGCCTAATCTCAACAATTCACACATCTCCGATCTAATTACAACCCCCACCTCTTCCCTGTCATGGGAAGGTGGTTTTTCTTATTCGATTAACAAACCCAGGCGATGTTCCCGTATATGATAATTTAGGAACCTGCCTCTCCGTAAAGTGCTTTAATTCTTCCCCAGCAAGAAGACGGAAGAAGAAGAAGAAGAAGAAAAATCGATGGGTTGATAATTTTCCGGGCTTGATGCGAGGTGTCGCGCAGGCCTGTGCCCGCAGGTGCCCAGGATGTGGAGCCGTGAAGAATGTTTTCAGAGCCGGAGCTGAGCTCGAGGAAAAACACGCTCCAGCTCCATCCAACAGTATAGCTGACGAACGTACGGCACCCGGCAATGTCACGCTAATAAGGTTTATTCAAAGCGAATTTTCCTTCTCAATTACCTACAGAATCTGAAATTCTTTTCACGATTCCTCGTGACAAATACATGAAGCCTGTAAAAATAGAATGCCATGATTATTTCCCAGTACATCCAAAAGTGAATGCAGATCCTTTGCCAATGTAAAAGCAAAATTAACAACCTTTTCCGACTATATATATATATCGAATTTCACTATTTTTTGTATTTCTTAAAAAACCCAAGATATAATATGTTACTCACCCTTAATCTGCTCATATAATTCGAGTGACAATCATTAAGTTTATATAGACCATTATCATGTTGCGGCCATCGTGTTTTTTTTCCCATTCAAATCAACGTAAACAAAACGAGGCTGGAAGGAAAAATAGTCTGGTTCCTTCTTGCGCAAAAAACATTATCATTCAGTACTGTTATTGGATACAGGTAACATGACTGAAATGGTGGCAGCATGATAAAGGCCTATGGCTCACCACCAGCTATGTATATGCATGGAGGAAGAATATGCACAGCAGGATAGTGTCTATATTTACACTCAACATTTTTCATCAGACAAAAGGCCTTGGAGGAGGCATATAATGCTTCCCTTCATGCAGTGCAGCCTTCATTTCTATATTTGCTTATTATTGTTTGCGGGGTCCTGCCGTTTCGGGCCATTAAGATAATGCGTTCGCGCGTAGTAATCAACGCTGAACATTTTCTGTGTAATTATTGCGGGCTCCTGGCCCTGAGTGTGCACGAAGCGTGCCGCTCTTGCAGCGATGGGAACCAGCGAAGCGTGAAATACACAGCCATATCGATCACTCGCTACCGGAGTAATTATTGAAAGTAATTCCCGAAGTTTTACGCTCGGACGAATACGGATATATAAACGGGTAATGCGGTCCCCGCTTGGACCCGTCATCAGATCCTAATTAATCCTTTTCTTCCATGCGATCTGCGCCCAGCAAGGCCCCAGCTCAATCAAATCGCATTCGTTTGAAGTCGTCTTGTGCGCATGCGCGTTGCCAATACCCTTGACGGTGCAAAAAAAAAGTGACCAATTCCTGGCGCCATCCATTAACGTGTAAGCCTACTGCAGACAGCTCTTGTGAATACTGCAGGAAGTCGTAAATATTTTAGCGCAAGGGGACATGGCATTGACAGGCTTCCCCAAATATTTGTTTTATTAGAGACAGTTCTCTGGGCACATCCATTATTTTATCGTTATTTATCTTGATTAAAGTCTGGTCTGGCTGACGAATCATTTGAAGACAAGTACGAGGTCACTGTTGCTTGTAGCATGTAGGGCGCCATCTGTTGATTTCAAGCTTGATTTGAAACTCGTGTGGTATAAAGCCTGGTATAAAGGTAGATAAGATAATCAGATACCTTTTTCCAAGGCAGCTTTATGTTGGTATGGTTCCTCTTTTTCAAAAGAACAAACTGAGAAAAAAAAACTGATGCAAGGGATTCAGTAGAGGGCGTTTGCAAACATGACGTCATTCGTGTGCAACGCATCAAGTGACCGATCTTGGCAAATTCTTGGTCGAGTGCCACATACGCATTAAGTTACCAATAGCTTTATTTTATTACTTCACCATTGAAGCTTGAATATGACGGAGCAAATTTCTGATTTTGCCAAATCGATAAGGATCCGAGTAGGTCGGCGACATTTCGTCTGGTTATTTCTCCCGTCGGAAATCCACTCGAGGAAGATACCATCATATGACACACCCCGGCGATCAGTGATTCCATCATAATACGCTTTATTATGTTTGAACTGCGTCAGTTGACGAGTAGATTGCAGATTAAAAGTCGGGAGTAAAGTACAAGTACATCTACTCACCGAAGTATTGGTTAACTTTAGACAGTTTTTTTGCCCACGAAGAAATAAACTCGCACTTGTCAAGACTTGTCAATGAAAGTTCTGTACTTATTTTCGGTGCTTAACGAATGTAGATGAATTTACATCTTGTTTAATATAATAGTTCGGATAGTTTTGTTTGATACCAAACCTTTCACATCCTTCGTTAAGAAGAACATGGAAAACAACCGTTCAACGGGATTTGTGTCTCTGAGTCCCGTACTATGCGTACCTCCCTGTACAGCCGAAAAAAATCGCTATAAATCTACGACTCCATGTGGTTTAGTGACATAACAGTGTTTGGCAGCCGCGTTTGTAGTCGGACATCGTACATGTAGAACGTACAGCACTTTGACAATGACTTAAGGCACAGATGATGCATAAGCCTTTTAATAGCAGCCACTTCCTCATAAATGCATCTGATGAGATAGCTAATGCGACGAAAGCTTGGGTTTTTGCCTTTTGCTAGTCATTTTAGTGCCATACGCGTATATTCTACCTGTGGTTTATTGGGCAGAACAGTTTTCATGTGACCAATGTTTACCCGGAACCTTGAAAATAATCCTGCTTGCAGTCATTTTTTCCTCCTGCATTGAAGGAGTGGTACAAAATTGACCAAAGAAGCTGAAAATGTGAAACACACATCATTCTTCGTTGGTTGTGAACATCATATTACCAACGTTTCCCTCTATATACACTTTTTTGCCTCTTCTGATATGTCCCAAGAGGCTTTGATAACCCAGTTTTCATCAAGATAAACGGCACATTTTTTTTCCCTTCAGAATACGGGCCTGTGAAATAATGAGAGCAAGCACAGAGCAGCATTCGTGGATTCGACACTCGCGCTTAAATAATTCTTTAACTCTTACCTATGCAGACAGAAAACTATTACTTATTTAAGGCATTTTTTTTATTCATTCCACAGTTCCGAATTACCGATGACCCGGTTAAGATGCAGCTGCTGGAAGATAGATAAATAAATAAACTCACATCAAATATTTAAAGCTTCTACCATCAATTGAAATATAAACATGCATTGCAAATATCTCATTTATTTTGTACGTCAAAAACCCTCTAACGATACGGCCCACGGTCATATTGAATTGCTTTTAGTACCCAGGAGACAAAGTGAAGGTTTTTAAATTTGCCTATAATGCATTATTGCAAGTTGTGTCTTTACTAGTCTTTATGTCTCAATTATACGTGCACTTGTGCCTAATTGAAAGAGCCAATACTATTAGACGACGACCTTCGTCTCTTCATTTCAAATTAGCCACTATTGAGTCTCGTCACGTCAATGAGCACACTATGTGACACCAATCTGTTTGGTTCCTTGGAGGCACAATGGAGATCCCCGTGAGAATGCTGGGAATGTCAAGGGCGCCAATCTACTTCATTGTCATTATAGCCGCGTGGTAGTTCGTGGCGTTTCAATCGTCTCAGCGAAAATGTAAATTTGGACATGAAATCTTCTCATTTGAGGTTGAGAATTCAGTGCCAATATTTTAATTTTTAGGTTACAGAACATTTGAAAAAAAAAAGTTTCAACACCAGTGATGTTGGCGAGTCATCAACATTAATGACCACCACACGTCCATCCTAGTCCATCACAAGTCCATTACAAGTCCATCACAAGACCATCACAAGTCCATCACATGTCCATCACATGTCCATTACAAGTCCATCACAAGACCATCACAAGTCCATCACATGTCCATCACATGTCCATCACTAGTCCATCACAAGTCCTTCACCAGTCCATCACCAGTCCATCACTAGTCCATCACAAGTCCATTACAAGTCCATTACAAGTCCATCACTAGTCCATCACAAGTCCATCACAAGTCCATCACAAGTCCATCACAAGTCCATCACAAATCCATCACAAGACCAACACAAGTCCATCACAAGTCTTCCAGTCGAGTAACAAACTATTAAAAAGAACTATAACAAAGGCATTGTTCCTTTCTTGTTGCTCATCCGTTTCTTGCGATCGGACATGTGATTTATTTTTGACCGTACTTGTGACAGATTTGTGATGGATTCGACTACGACATCCAAATGGATATAAACTTGCCTGACTAGCTACTAATAATCTGCACTTTCCGGCACAGACTTCGACGGATTTAAACTTAGTTGATCCCTTCTGATCACTACATTAATCTCGCTCACGGTATACGAAATATCTAACATTAATTTTGTCAATTTCCTTTTTTCCCTTTTTTTTCACAGTGTTATATTTGGGTTGTTACCAAGACGAAACACAGCGAACGCAGAGGGTTCTTCGGGAAGGCTTCATTGCGGACGTACGACGAATGACACTGGCAATGTGTATACGACACTGTAACAAAAGGTACGGTGTTAGTCCAATCGTCTGGTGCTGGGTGTATAGAGGTGTTGTTATAATCAGTTTAAAGGCAGGACCATTTGCTTTTCATGTATTTTGTTCTTTTCCAATAGTAACACCACTCAAAATCCGAAAAAAGTTAAAAACCTATTTTTTGGTTGAACTTTCAGCTCATTGCACTTTTAGAGAAAACAGTTCCGTGAACAACTTGACCTTTTGATCACGAAACACGATTTCGCCAAAAGCACTCCTAATTCGTTCCAAAAATCAGTCAATTGACTGATCGTTGGAAATTGTCTACGTTTCCTGAGTTCAGATGACACCAAGCCAGACAAAATAATTTCAAGGGGTGTTTAGTACCAGTATACGATAATACCAGTAAGATTTTTATAATCATTTTTTTTTAGGTAGCTTTGAAAATAAATGCGAACGATCCTGTATGCCTTTAAGTAACCATTATACATGAAGATTTGCCGCAATAAAGCCGTATAGTAAAGTGTGGTCATCCTGGCAAAACAAAGAAACAGTCCACAGACATTTTAAGATTACCATTCAATTACAAATATCTTAACAGCCAACAGTTAACTTAATACCTCTCTCTCTCTCTTTCAAATAGCCAGGGCTAATATTATGTTCACCGTTATTGGCAAAATCTGTTTCACACCACTGATAACGCTGCCTATAACATACAACACGTTGCTCGATGTTTGTTACCAAAAGAAAAGTCTATACATTGTATAAGGCAAACGCGACTGTAAATGGTCTGGTTCCCTGACCCCATTGTCCTTCAGATTTTACACATTGGGACAGATTGCTATAGCAGTGAGTCTTCCATACATCAAGAGGCATCCCTCCTGATGTATGCAAATGATATGCATGACGTGTACGGGTCTGAATCCCGTCTCCTGAATTGAAAATCACAACGGTAATGTTTGCCATCGACCAACAGGCCGCGCCACGAATGTACAATTTCGGAGGTGATGAGCTTCCATTTTTGTTGAATCTAAAGTGTCTCTGGCAAATATCAATAAAGAGAGAGAAATTACTGTTCAGTATTTAAAACCTATGCAGTTGAAATGCTTGAAAGTTACCTTAATTCATGGAGACACTGATGATTTTGAGTCATTTTTGTGGTAAGACACGCGTGAGTTTTTTGATAATCGTGTGTTCAATCACCATCCATTCACAGAGCCAAACAGCGATATGAAAATAAACAATTACGATACGCGCACGCACAGGTGATCCAGTCAAAGGGCTTTAAATGGGAGCTAGTTACCGGTCCCCATGTTTTTAGGAGGGGGGTTGGGGGAACATTCTAGACTGGAAAGCAAGAGGAATTCGGCACTGAAAGAAACATTCATAACGTACATTTTGCTTTCATATCAACAGAATCAGTTTTTAACAGAATGCAATTCATGGAAGCCTTATCATTTAATCACGTTGTTGAAAGTGAAAAAAGACAAGTGTTGCTATGGTTACGGGAAACCATCTCCATCGCGTGCCCGGAGAGCACGACCTATTTGCTATGTAGACAAAGCACCGCGCGTGCTGTAGATCGGTCGATAGAGGTCCATGTATAAGCCATGAGGTCCGGACAACCCAGGGCTTGTATACCTGCATTATTAAACTCCCGTGAGATCTCGCGAGCGCCCGGTACCTGCCCACATGAATTAATCAGTGTTCCGTGTCTCGCTATGATGTACGGTGTGGTGTGAAATTCGGACTCCATTATGAAATGATTCAAAGACCGTACTGCGCATGGCTCAATGCATGGATGTTCTGAGAGTCCGAATTCTTCATAGATTCAAATTTCATATGACTTGATACCATGAAAACATAAGGTTTTGTTGAACTAATTTAACAAGAAGATGGATTGGCCGAAAATCCAGTCCAATCCTGTCCTTTTTTTTCTCGGGGTGTGCCATTCAGTAACTGTTGTTGATAAACCAAACTTTCATAGGCCTATGGGCCCAATATAAAAATGCCAATAACTATATTTATCAAATCACCTTCTGTTCTTTACGTTCTAGGGGCAGTTATTATGCCGGTTTAGAGTTCCATAGTGAGTGCTACTGCGGCAGACGAATCTACCACAGTAAACCAGCCAACCAGAGCCTATGCAATGCCACCTGCGCGGGCAACTCATCCGAGACGTGTGGGGGCGCCCCGTATCTGTCCATCTACCAACTGCTTTCAGACGATGAACGCGGTAGTGACCCAGGTATGTGGGAATCCAATTTGTTTAATTGCATGCTAATGCACAATGCCAACTCTTGATCGCGTTCGGAATGTCCGTGGGATTTCAATTTATTCTTGACTTTCGTCAGCCTGTTCCATCGTGTCTGTATCTGATTCTGACCAAGGCAGAACCGAACGTAATGGGTCGGACGTAATCGGCTGTCAGATGTAATGGGTCGGACAAAATCAGTTATGCCTCTCGGTCAAAATTTACTGACAAACTTGATCATTGAACAAACCGACGTATTTAATAGCGGTGAACAGACGTGTCAAAAAGGCTTGTTTTACACGACTACGACTATTTACTGTGGCGCACCAGTGTAGCTGTGATAACGTTTTTGATCTGACTGGCTGGTATCCTTGTTCTGTAATGGTAGGCTTATACGCGGCCGGCAATCAGCTAAAAGCTTATAAGTAAAGTTGAGTACAGTGTAGCCGTTCCCGAGCCAAAATGGCAGGATGGCATTAATCTCCAGTTACCTATAGGCATGAACGGACCGAGTATATTTCTATTTCCTGGATGGAAGGCCGGTCCGTCACTGAGGTTACTCCCGTGCTAATGTCGGTACCAAGTTATACTCCTACGTAGAGATAGACAGGTTGGGTGAAGTGGCTTGCCCAAGGACACAAACATGTGGGAAGCGGTGGGATTCGAACCCCTGATAATGAGTCAAAAACACTATCCACTAAAGGCCACATTCCCCTGATGTAATGTCTAGGTCTTCGACCATTATACCCGGAACATGCTAACATCAATAGACGGAGCCGTAGCTCTTAACTCGTGGTTCGGACAGGCCTTGGTCTATCCACCAGGGTTTTATATTCTTCCGTAGTTCTTTGTGCATGTCTCTGTAAATCCAACATTAAGTATTGTTCATTGTATAAATACAGAACATTTATGCTCTAAAGATTACCCCAAACTGCTGATTCCGCATGCGACGAAGAGCCATCCCCAGGGTTGGTTATGCCATACAGCATTCTGAATTCTAAAAATAAAATTTCTAGCGATGCATGTAAAATAAAAAAAAAAACCTTTTTAATAATCTTTTGATCAGGAAAGATGCTATCTGCGTTTAGTCAATTAAGTCGAGGAAGCAATTCATCCGGTCCCATCGAAGATGTCATTCTGTATGCGTGCAAGGCTCGCTAAATCAACGAATTCGATGGGACAGATAATAACGACCGAACGATGCGACTTCTAGAAGCGAGAGGGCAAGAGGGCAATGGCCGGGGCGAAGCGCAGACAAGAGGGTGGTCGCTGGCGAGGTTCTCGGAGACATTTCTCCTTCTCAAGGGACTGAACCTTCTGTTCTCGCAAATTGTCGGTTGAATCTAAATGTCAATCTTTCTTCAATCATTTGGAAAATTTGTCGTGATTTCGTATGCATGCCACTTTCGTGGTAAAAGTTAGCAGGTGATTGACTAAAATCTTCTATATTTCTAAAAATTGGCGTTTAATGTCACTTTTCTTCTCGGGAATATCAAGGAAAGGTTGGGAAAGGGAACCGAAAAAAAACCAATTGGCCAATTTTTTTTAAAACCACGCTTCACTGATAGCTGTCTAGCGCTCTCCCCAAGAAAATTTGCTAACGACAGTTCGTCCGCGGACTGGGCCCTGTGTGTAAAGGATTTGTCTTTCTTTTCATTGAGTGGTAAAGCTGGAATGGACTAGTCTGGCGTATGAAAGGCTTCGCGGACCTTTGTATCTGTGTACATGTATGGCTTTATGATGGCGGACGGACACACAAAGGGAGAACAAAAGATCCTTTCAGTCCTCCAGCGTTGGGTCTTTTGTTGAAACGGTCCTCGATCGTACGGATGTGCTTAGTGTTTAATACCGGAGTCTTACATAGCGCGCGTATTTACCAACAATTAGGTACTCAAGGCGCTGGAGATTATGTCTGTTATTAAAGAAAGGTAAATACAGTTTATAGCTCCATGGTCTATGAGAGCGTTATATTTAAAGGGAAACACAAAGCATTGTCCTCGGGCGTAAAGAAATTCACGACTGGTTGTGTTATTAGGCTTTTTGGGCTCGCTCAAAGCCAAGACACCCCCGCCCTTTGCAGGAAGTGGGTGCGCAGGTAGCAAGAAACCTAAAAAAACCAAGCAACCCACGAACGAGAGTTGGCCAAACTGAGAGATACTATATCATGTAGCACTGCATTATACATCCTTCGAAGTGCCGAAGAAATACAACACTCCGGTGCGTCGGAGTGGGCCCCGGTGTCACCACGTCACACCTCGAGATATCACGCAGCAACGGAACCAGATAGGGTCGTGTATTAAACATGGCGGGTTGAACAGGCTCGTCGACATGCTCTCGCCTCCAAAACTTCCGAGTAGCGGGTTTGTTCGAGGGCCGTCCCCTCCACTTAACCCCGCCGTGAAGTGGACTGGGTTTTTTTTTGTACGGGGCTGAAGTATTTTGATAACTGAATCACACAATGCAGCAGGTTGGAGGGTTGAAAATGCTTCGAGTAGGTCGCATATTGCCAAACTAAATAAAACTGGATATGGGTGCCAAGTTTGCAATAATGTTTTCTCCGTTTCAACTTCGCACACTTTGAATAAGATAGAATGTACACTTGTTTCTGACTGCGTATAATCAACTTTAAACAAATATACGGCCGGTAGTGTCTGCAACCCAGTTCTAAAAAAGGAAAAAGGGTTAAGATAGTCTGCTGCCACCAAGCGGCTGAAAGTCCCTAGTCGATGAGGTCATGACCCTTTATTCGCAAGAAAGGTGCAATTCATAATTTCAAGGAAGATTTGGGAGTTCAACTGGAATGCGTAAGTTTGGAGCCAATGGTCTAATTGCACGCAACTACTCCACCAAACCTCAGATAACCTAATACTTCACTCAGCAAAATCCATGGGTTAGTGTCGGGCCAAAGTATAGACTGATACCCACGTATCATTAACTTTGGACTCGAACAATGTTATTCTTTAATTGTTCTATTTTAATCGAAAAAACAAGGAGGAAAAGGGACAGTATCCTTTTTAAAAAGCACACTGCGCAGAGGGCAACAGTATTTGTCCAGTTATTAAACCCCTCGATCGGATTTTTTTTTAAGCTCGGGGGTAATTTGAAGTGGCTTGTGACTATACTATACCTGGTGATGACGAACGGCTTCGCTCGGCGCCCGGATTCCGTCAGGCCTTAGGGGCAGCTTAGTGCGCGTTAAGACAGGGGACATGTCTCTCTCTTCGTCCGGGGAAAGTCAGTCAAAACGCTCGCAAGTCACTCTTCCTTAAAGGGGCTCTTCTATAATTTGTACAAGGATGGGACTAGACTGTGCACGCAACAATACCGATATACACAAGATAACAATGGGGTAGGTAACTCTCTAAATTCCAAAGAGTGAAAATTCACTCCATTCGAGTGAAGATTCACTCCCACAGTCGGAAACTAGGGACTAGACGGTTTAGAGTGAAATTTCTTCAATCGTAAAGATCGAGTTTTCACTCGAACTTCGACTGAAGTTTTTTTTTTTTTCAGACTATTTCAATCGAAAACGGAAGTGATTTTCACTCTAAATCGTCTAGTCCTTAATTTCACTCTTTGGAATTAAGAGAGAATGCAGGAGCTCCAGCTAACGCGAGTCTTGTGAATGCGTTATAAGAGTATAACACCGCCATATAACGTCACATTTGAGTAAAAAGCTTTCACAATTATTCTCCTGTTCATATTAGATTTGTGCCAGTGTAGACTGGATTAAAAGCCTTTCCACTCGCAGGATGTCTAAAATCAAACTCTAGCAAATCATTATAATGACAAGATGTGTCCAGTACACCGGTTTTTACTTGAAACACGGACGCATGCCACAATTTGGTGACCGCGACTGATTCATCGACGCGTGTGCCAGTTTTGCAATGTAAATACCCATCTGACCTATTTAAAAATGGATGTGTGCTATGACTGGCTCTCCCATCAAGAGTTTGGAAAATCAAAAAGCAGCGGGGAGAAGGGGGCTGGACACCATCTGACAGGTGGCCCTGTTCGTAATAAAACCTTAGAAAAAAATGTTCGCATATATCCGCATTTCATGAAAAGTACCTGTCTTCTTAAATTTATGACAAAATTGAGACTATACGGTGGAATGTTGTTCTTCTATATTTCACACTTTTACCATTTACTATACTTTACATGAAAATCGGATTCTGTCGGTGTATTCAGTACTGAGGGATTATTCTATTGGCCAACCCTGGGTCAAAAAGTTGGGGGATATCCCCCCCCCCCACCCACTGTCCACAGTGACAGTAACCCTTTGGGAATTAGCAGAGGAAGAAGAGGGGATGGAGGGTTTAAAAAGCGGATATCTCACTAAATCCACGCTCTCGGCTGTTCTGTCAGCGTACGCACTTTGCAACCCGCCCTACGGAATGCAGATAAGCGCACAGTTACGTTTTATTGACGTATTTGTGACGTCAGGGATGTAAAAGTGCACTCGTTTTTGGCCCAGATAACAAAATTATTATTCACTTTCGGAGGTCTTCAAACTCGTGGAAAACGGAAATAGTGTGTAAGGCATACCGCTAGCCATAATTATAAGTTTACCGGTCTGTTATTTGTCTCCGTTTTATGTAAAAAAAAAGCTACGTGCGTTTTACTTACAAAATATTCTGGATTTTATTAAAATTAACATACTGCTGAGGGCTAGGGATTGTAATTGCATTTTTAAGTCTAGGTCAGGAGAACGTGTCACAGAGAAAAAAATGAGACTTTGTGAACCATTTATTAGCCCCTTTAATTCTCCAAATCACTCCACTTGGGGCCTAATCCGTTCACCTCATCACGAAGAGAGGCGTCCCGAGGAGGATAATGACGCCTCGGGAAGAGGCTACGGAATGAGATAGATTCCATATGGGATTATACTGGGTGCGTGTTCACACCCTGTAAGCGACATACACCATGGGAGCTTAGGTGACCGTTTCTCAAGTCTTGCAGTGATGTTGAGGGGATACTCTGTGAGCCCGTCA